GACGTATGGAATGCACCAAATCCTGTAAGAAGAAGGGCAATAACGTCTTTCCCTTGATAAAATTCACCAAACATTCTCTTTGTTCCGACTTTAAATCCTCGATCTCGGGAATCGTTGACAACACAGAATGTCTGTCTTCGTCTACATCCATTTCGACCTCTTTGTTTACTGTTGTGCTGTTCCATAAAAGGGACCCAGACAGACGCTTGAGTTTGACGTCATGGCTTCACAGCTCTTCACTGCGGTCTACAACTTCCGGGGTTTTTGCGAACCCTCTAGTGTATTCCGATTCCTGACCTAGTCGCTGGAGAGAAATGAAATTAGGTGGCGCTTTAAACACCTTCACTAGAATCATTTGGATGAGTCCAGCCCTGGAATTGAAAGGTAAAATGCAGCTGTTAACTTGAAAACTACCGGCTTCATGACATCACAAGGTGGAACTGAGCATTTGTAGACAGACTAATACGTGTGAATGAAACAAAACACAACTCCAGGTCTGTTTTTGAGGAGGTAACAACATTCTAACACGGCTTTAAAGCTCACACGAGTCAGTTTTGAGTAATATTGGACCTTTAAGCATAAACCAGGTCAACAAATCTGCAGTCTGACAATTAAACCGCAAACTCCACCTTCGAATTCTGACCTGTCGTCCAGCTCAGATTAAAAAAAACTCATTTGAATGTTGTGATGTGACGTGAGCGCAGCCTATCACGTGGTCACTTTGTTGTTTTGCTTTTTATTTAAACTGACTCGCCCTCATTCAGTCTGCTCTGGGAGATTTCAAAATAAAAGACTTAATTAAAAATGAATTCTGCCCCCAGTAGTGACCTCCCCCTTCTTTACCCTCCCTCCTCCCTTCTCCCTCTTCCCTAGTTTTGGGACAAACCAGGCCTTATGAACTTTGTGAGTGAACATTTTGAATGTTTGTATGTTCTCAAATTAAAAAAGAAATGAATTGTTTTGTATGTTAATACTGCCACAATACAGCTCCCAAATAAATGATTACCTTCAGATACAGTGTGGTGTGTTGAATATTTGAGACGAACCTTAATGTTTTGGTGACTTTTCCCACTGGTGAGTGAAAAAAGTGACAAAAAAGTGACAAAAGCGAAAAGTTGACAATCTGAATCTTGTTCCGCTCCTTTAGATATTTTGTAGTTTTTGTTAATTTCTTGTTCCACCTTGTACTTCTACTTTCATTTTGAAGTACAGTACTCTTACTTAAGTAGTATTCTGACCCATATACTCACATCTGTATCCACATTTAATACAATTTTTACTGTTGTAAAATGTGAGAAACAGAACGAAATGTGAAAAACAGGACTAGCTCAAACTGTTTGTAGTAGCCCAAAAATTATTCCTCACTTACGCATTTTACTGCAATGACTTTGTGCAGTTCTTGATTTTTGGTGCAATAAAACACTTCATAATTAGATGCAGACAGAATGCAGGAGATATGTTTTAACTTCAAAAGCTGCTTATACAATATGTACTGGGGAAAGACTAATTTTGTTCAATAACATGGGTAAAATATAAATGGGTAGAGGCCCGAATGTGTCCCAAAACGAGGAAGTCGTCATCCACATGTTTCCAAACGTCTCCTGGGTTTGTGACCCATTAAGGCCTGTACCCATTTATATTTTGCATGTGTTCTGCTCAAAAACACGCCATTCACTATTTTTCTGTTTTTAAAAATAGTGAAAGGTGAAGGCGATGGGCAGGACTGATCCACAGGAAGGACGAAAAAGGAAAACATATGACTGCCTAAATCATCCCGAGTTTGCAGAGAACATTTTGTATGTGGAGCGACAACAAAGCAAAATCCCGTTTGTTAATCGAGAGGAGCAGAAGACAAACAGACTGAGCTGCACTTTCTTGTTCTTGTGACTTTACAGCAACATCACGTCTTGGTCTCTTTGCAGTGGAAGGTGTTTCTTGGTGAACAGCTGGTGCCTTTCGCTTTGGCGTTGACTTTTTAAATTCGTCAATAAGGCTGAGCGAGGGATCGGGATTTTGCTTTGTTGGAGCTTCACATACAAAATGTTCTCTGCAAACTCAGGATGTTTTCTTACACAGCCAAAGGTTTCCTTTTTGGTCCTTCCTGTGGATCAATCCTGCCCATCGCCTTCACCTTCCACTATTTTTCAATTCCGTTGGGAAGAGAAACAGTTTGAACGGAGGTTTGCAGTCACACACATCTGATTCCCTTTTGCATTTATGGAGTTCGCAAACTTCTGAAGCCCGTTTCTCGAGCCGTTTTCAACCACACAATTACGATGTCCAAATCCCAAAACTAAAATATGACAATATCAGAACCAGAAACAAAAGTGATATGGTTCAAAGGACTAGAAAAGAAATCCATATGGGAAATCAAACATGGTGGTTTGATGCTCACTTTTTCGGAGGACCCGAAATCCGAAATTCAGGATTCATGTATTCTGTCATATTAAGTTTAAAGAATGGGTATTACGCAAAATCTACTTTTCTTTTTTAATCCTTCTATCATGTTATAACATTATTCCATTATAAAAAACACGTCTGGAGTGGTTTTATACATCACCTGTGCATGTTTAGCTAATCTAATCTATAACAATCTTTTCAGGGCACCACTCAAACCCTTATCTACGATCTTGTGGAATGTGTAACCTACAAACCTACTTTACCCACGCTCCTCCACGACAATTCTCCATAAATATACAAAAGCGTGACACAAAACTGTACACAACATTTTGACAAACCTGACGCGATGTGAAGAGCCACTTAACTCAGAGCAACAAAAACGAAACTGAAACTTATAAAACGTTTAATTTGTTGGTTTGGGTGAATATCGCATTTTCAAAACAGTAAAAAGTAACATGGTGATCTAAACATGTTATGAGTTAGAAGTGAATCCCCCTTTTCTGTTCTGGTTATGAAAACATTTATCTGTTCTTAAATAACAGAGTTTATATCAGTTTATCTCGTTGAGATTGTGTTACAGAATCTGTTTAGTCAACGTGGTCTGGAGCCGGAGCGGTCTCTCACTTTTGAAAACAGTCATGAGTTTAACAGAGTTTGTGACACCAGTTTTGTCTGTGATCTTATCCCCTTTACACGCACTGTAAAAAATAATCTCTACATTAGGCAAAGGGAATAGAATTTAAAGGTGCATTGTGTAACTTTTCTGGTGGAGGATGCGGAGGATGTTTTTCTACGAGAAGATGTTATTGCTTTGGCTTCTGCGTTGTTTTGCAGTGTGGTATTAAACTTTTCTATCTTCATGGAGACCAAGACCCAGTTACAGGTCAGGGCAGGACCAAGACCTCTTAGAGTCAAGATAGAGACAAGACTGAGACTTTTAAAGGCCGAGACTGAGACAAGACCGAGACCAAGTCCCACTGAGACAAAATCAAGACCATCTTTGTCATTTGCGACATTTATTTGTATTTTACAGTTATTTTGTCACATATATATCAATGTTTTTATAAACCTATCTCCATTTTATCACTCGTCAAGTGTCAGACCTTGAGACTGAGACAAGACCGAGTCCAAGAGCCTTCAAGACTAAGTCCAAGAGCCTTCAAGACCGAGACAAGATCGAGTCCAAGCGCCTTCAAGAAGAGTCCAAACGCCTGCAAGAAACAGACAAGACCGAGTCCAAGCGCCTTCAAGACCAAGACAAGACCGAGTCCAAGCACCTTCAAGACCGAGACAAGACCGAGTCCAAGCACCTTCAAGACCAGAGACAAGACCGAGTCCAAGCACCTTCAAGACCGGGACAAGATTGAGTCCAAGCACCTTCAAGACCAAGACAAGACCGAGTCCAAGCACCTTCAAGACCGAGACAAGACCGAGTCCAAGCACCTTCAAGACCAAGACAAGACCGAGTCCAAGCACCTTCAAGACCGAGACAAGACCGAGTCCAAGCACCTTCAAGACCGGGACAAGATTGAGTCCAAGCACCTTCAAGACTGGGACAAGATTGAGTCCAAGCGCCTTCAAGACCAAGACAAGACCAAGTCCAAGCACCTTCAAGACCAAGACAAGACCAAGTCCAAGCACCTTCAAGACCGGGACAAGATTGAGTCCAAGCACCTTCAAGACCGAGACAAGACCAAGTCCAAATGCAGTTGAGTCTGAGAGGAAACCAAGACCGCAAAAAAAACGGTCGCGAGACCAAGACCAGCCTCAAGTACTACACCTTTAGAGGAAAGTCGACCCCACTCACAGTCAGAATGTTTGTTTTTCTAGGTATTTTTGAGCTATAAAACCACCTGTAATTGAATAAATGTAAGGTAGAGCTGTTTAATGTCACACTGTGGAACTTTCCAAACAGAGCAATGACAAAAAGGCTACATACTGCCCGTTGAAGACACCTTTTTAGTTTTTTAATTCTATAAAAAAAATGAGAACTTCGCACGTCAGTTTCGACTGTGTTGGAGGAGAATGAACAGCCCAACTCTGTTTGCGGTAGAAAGTCTGACAAAATCTAAGAAAAAAGAGAAAATGTTCCAGTTTTCTTCACCTCCATGTCATTGTAGTGTTCAGTTATGTTCCTCTAATTGACAATTACAACAGTTTTCTTAATTTCCACACTGACGCACAACTCCGAGCGCACTGGGTACACGCGATTAGAAAAGACGAGGCGCCAAATTCAAGACGATTCCAAACGAGCACATACGTCTGCAGTCTTCATTTTACCGCTGATCACATTTGCTTCACGGGTCGTTCGGCGAGCCCAGTGTCGGGAACTACACCGGAAGTCGTCATCGCGTGTTTCCGAACGTCTTCCTGGTTTGTGACGTAAGCGTGGACGGAGCCGATTCATTTAAACTATGAAGATATACCGATTAAATTATTTTTTGCAGTGTGTTGTGAAGGAGGGAGGGCGAGGTATTAAAGGAGAAAGGCAAACGTCTTGGCAGAGTCTTGCATAAAAACATCAGACTCATACAAACCTGTAAAGTCACTCGTTTTCACAAGTTATGAAAGACAGATACAGTAGATATGGACACGGACGCAGGTGGACGCGGGACTTTGGAGGAGTTTCTGAGAAGGTTTGAGGAACGACGAGAGCAGGAAGAAGATGAGACGCAACCAGGACCGGATCTGCCCAAACCAAAGGACAAGAAGAACAACGTGATAATCAGGTAGAGCAATTTACTCAATGTTGGTTTTATTATTAATTTAATGAGGTATTTTAGTCCTGTTTGTTCTAGTTTGGTCCAGTTCTGGTTCAGTACTGGTTTCGTTTTAGTTTAATCCTGGCTCAGTCCTGGTATGGTCCTAGTTCAGTCCTGGTTTAGTCTTAGTTCTGTCTTGGTTCAGATCTGATTAAGTTCTAGTTTAATCCTGGCTCAGTCCTGGTTTAGTCCTGACTTACTTCTGGTTTAGTCCTAGTTCAGTTCTGATTTAGTTCTGGTTTAATCCTGGTTCAGTCCTGCTTTAGTCCCGGTTCAGTCCTGCTGTAGTCCTGGTTCAGTCCTGGTTTAGTCTTGGTTCAGTCCCGGTTCAGTCCTGGTTTAGTCTTGGTTCAGTCCTGGTTCAGTCCTGGTTTAGTCCTGGTTCAGTCTTGTTTCAGTCCTGGTTTAGTCTTGGTTTAGTTCTAGTTTAATCCTGGTTCAGTCCTGGTTTAGTCCTGGTTCAGTCTTGTTTCAGTCCTGGTTTAGTCTTGGTTTAGTTCTAGTTTAATCCTGGCTCAGTCCTGGTTTAGTCTTCAGTCATGGTTCAGATCTGGTTTAGTTCTAGTTTAATCCTGGCTCAGTCATAGTTCAGTTCTGTCTTACTCCTGGTTGAGTCCTGGTTTAGTCCTAGTTTAGTGCTGGTTAAGTCCTGGTTCAGTGCTGGTTTAATCTTGGTTTAGTCTTGGTTTAGTTCTGGTTTATTTCTAGTTTAATCCTGGTTTAGTCAGTCCTGGCTCAGTCCTGGCTTTAGTCCTGGCTTAGTCCCGACTTACTTCTGGTTTCGTCCTAGTTCAGTTCTGATTTAGTTCTGGTTTAATCCTGGCTCAGTTCTGCTTTAGTCCTGGTTCAGTCTTGGTTTAGTCTTGGTTTCAGTTCTGGTTTATTTCTAGTTTAATCCTGGTTTAGTCAGTCCTGGCTCAGTCCTGGTTTAGTCCTGGTTCAGTCCTGGCTCAGTCCTGGTTTAGTCCTGGTTCAGTCCTGTTTGAACACTAAGCAGCAGGATATACTGTATATGAAAATTGGGAAAAAAAATTATTTTAGGCCTCAATATCTCACAGCATTTCTCTGTAGCAATACATCAAATACATCGTCCTTCAAGATGTGGCCTCGCTGTACCAGATTAAATATTTATATCCATGAGTGTATTGTTAATTACATTGTTTTAAAAAGTGTAAAATCAAATAGAGAGTGTGTGTTGTTGTTGGGACTTCCTGGTGAGATCAGGTGAGTTACAGAGACTCAGACATGTGTCCTTCATGACCCCGGGACGAGGAGGACACAGAGTTCAGCTCAAAACACACACACTCATATCTCTGCACTTTCACTTTCACAAGAATATTGCTTTCTGTGTTGCTCTACTTTCATTTAAGAAGTGTTGACGTGAACAGAATAGACAAACATGTAGACCTACTGTTACTGTATTGCAATATTACTAACGGTACATACTTTTGGACAGAATTTTTCAGCTTTTCTCCACAAATTGCATCTTGATTGGTGTAAAACAAGACAAGGCATGGCAATACAAGTTTATTTGTAAAGCACAATTCGTACACAAAGTAATTCAAAGTGTTTTACACAATAAGAAATACACTAAAGTCACTATACAAACAAACCAAGTCATAAATAATCATCATAAACAGAAGTGTTTGGAGTCTGGATTTAATCAAAGAAAAGGCCTGTCTCACTTCACTTTCATTTGAGAAGTGGTGAAATATGTTCTGGAAAATATGGACACGTGTACACATATATTTAAATATGTTTTTGTGTGTTTGTTTTGTTTTTCTGAATGCATTTGTTATGGGTGTGTGTGTTTGTGTGTATGTATGCACATGTATGTGATATGTATATATTTTGTTCGCATCATTATTAATGTAATTATTGCTACCTTATTTTTATTATTATTTTCTGGTCAATGTTACTATTACTATTGTATTTTTATTTTATTATTATTTTTTATTTATTTATTTGTTATTATTATTATATTTTTCTTAATTTTATGTATTTATTTATTTATTATTATTATTTTTTTTTTCAGCGTCTATTAAGGGTGGGTGTGGGGAGGGCGAATGGAGAGGAGGGGGTTTAAATGTGGCATTTGTATATTTGTACATCTTGTGGCATTATTGTGTGGCCGTAAGATCACAATATAGGAAAAAATAAATAAATAAAATATATATGAAGAAATTAGTAGAATAGGCAAAAATGTAGGCCTACTGTTACCGTATTGCAAAATTATTAACGTTACAAACCTTTTGGACAGAGCTCTCCCTAGTGTGATGTAATCCGTGTGCTTCAAAACTCTACTTCCTGTAATTTTCAACATATTTTTCAACTTTCTTTCACAAATTGTGTACAGTGACCAGACATCCTTATTTAACCGGGACAGTCTCAGTTTAAAGCCCTGTGTCTCCTGTCCCAGCAGATTTAGCCAGAAACACTGATTTGTTCCAGTTTTACACAAGAAGTGTCCCTGATGTCCCTATTTTTGACCAATCTGATCCCTGCCAACAGCAAAGAGAGACATACATTATCATTTGTTTAGGTAAAATACAAAAAAGCTGCATAAAAACGACCAAAACACAAAGAAAATGTGACTATACTGATTCACATATTAGTCATGAATTGGCAGAACAGTTTTCCTTAATTACACACTTGTTTCACAATTTTATTATTACCAAACACCAAAAATGGGAATGAACTGGAATGTCCCAGTTTTTTATTTTGAAATTCTGGTCTTGATTGGTGTAAAGTTATAGGTTCATTTATATTTACAACAGACATTATCTCACCAAATAAAGTAAAAATGCATAAATAAATACATACATAAATTAATTAATAAACAAACAAACAAACAAATAAATAAATAAAACTGTCTTACGCACAAACATCTATTTACATTAAAACTAGTTCAAATCAGCTTCACTGTTGTTGTAGTACCCACTGTGTCCGCTAGGGGGTGGATATGAAAATGGCGTTATATCACAGTTTTTGCGCGATATTTTAAATGCACGTACGCTTATTTTAATTTTTCAGAACCTCACATTCCCCATGTCTTCCGTGTGAACATTGTCAAGATGTTTTTACAGCTTAAATCCACGTTCATACTCACCATATGTCAGATGTCTCCTCCGGTTGTTGAACAAAGGGGAGCGGAAAGTTTACTCAAAGGCAGGTGAGGCGTTTACGCACAGGAGGATTTCTAGGTGTTTACTTTTACCTCAGAAATGGGGCAGGTGCACATGGATATCCTCCTGCTGCTGCTCCGTACGGATCTATGCTCCGGAAAGTGTTAGAAAGTTGGAAAAGTTGGGAGTTTTAGTCGACTTGGACTTATTTTGGACTCGGATTTTATCGTTTTAAGAGAGGTAATGTTTCAGAAATGTTTCAGCTTTTTACGCGTGGGCTTATTTCTGATCTAAACAGTTGAACTCGAAAGTTGAAGCTTTAAATGATCATCTTACACTTTTGTACTTTTATTTTCTTTGTTAACAAGGATATATTAACGCTACATAGTGCTAATCTATCAGTCTTGTTCAGATAGGATATATTTTTTATCTAAAAAGATGCCAAAAGCTGAAAATATTTAAGTTTATATGCTCAAATTTGACTTACTGTGCAGGAATGTATCGTGTTTGTCTTTTGGAAACGCTAGAATCTTCTTTGCGCATGGGTATTTGTCTCTGATCCTAAAAAGATGTCGAAAGATCATCATTATTATTATTAATTTGTTTGTTTTGATGATCAATTTTGACCTATTTTTTCAGTTTTTATTGTGTTTTGAATGGTAATTGTTAAAAAAAAAGTTAAAAAACGCTACTAATCGTGTGGATATGGAATTTATTCGACTCTAAAAAGTTGTCGAAAGTTGCAGAAAGTTTTTAAATGTTCAAACTAGACTTGGATTTTCTGGATTGTGTTGTATTCTACTTTGTTAACAGCGGTATATTATTGTGTAGGAACTAGAGATGCGCGGATTGCGGTGACAACCGCGGGTCGGGCGGATGACGTGATGAAAAATTATATTTTAATTAAATTCGGGCGGGTGGCGGTTTAACTACTAAAAAAAAAGTTATTGTTAGTGTTGTTACGTACATCTGAAAAGACGAGTGTCATTGTCTATGCTTGTATGAAGTGTACGTCATGTCCTTAATTAGCTCATTTGACCTCGTTTTTATGTTCTGAAGGTTCAGGTTGTGTCGGGTTATTGATGCCTAAGGTTTACGAGGCACATATTATATGCAGTTTATTTTATTATTTCTAATTTATTTCAGCTGTTTGCCAACACATAAGTGGCTATAGGGCCATATTTATGTAGTTATGCATATTTCTTCTTGTCTATTTCAATTGAAATATAAAGAGGGCATTGCCTGATTTCAATAAAGGTTCATCTGGATGAGATGATCTGTCTGTTTTGTTTCGATATCAGATATTTTAAAACACGCAGACATTATAGCGTAGACTGCCACTCAAAACTTAAAGAAAGACCGATGGAGTGAGGCTATGACTTTGAAATAACATCGGGCAATGGCAGAATGTTCAGAATGTAACAACATCCAACACGAAGGCAAGAAGGTTCAAAAATAGTCTAGTCGGAAAACGGTGTCAATGAATTAGATGCGCAAGAAAACCAGGTAAGCTGGGGTTGTTACGGACAATTAAGAATGCGAACAAACACGCTGAGCAAATTTTGGAATGAATGAGCTATAGAGTTTGCATTTTTATCGAGGCTCCTTAGTTTGTTTGCTGTATGATTGTTCTAAAATCTAAAATCAATCGGCGGATGGCGGCGGGTGCGGTTTTGAAAACCTTCGGTGCAAAATGGACAGCGGGCGGATGATGAGTTTTGTGTCGCGGTTGCGGATGAAAAAATAGCCCATCCGCGCATCTCTAGTAGAAACGCCACTTCGCTTACGTTTTGACCTGAAAGTTGTTTTAAATTTTACGTTTGACTTGTTTTTAGCGCTAATCTGTCAGTCTTGATCAGATCGGTTACATTTTTTATCTTAAAAGTTGTCAAAAGCTGTAATTTATTAAGTTTATATGCTCTAATTTGACTTAACTTTTCAGGAATTTATCGTGTTTGTCTTTTGGAAACGCCAGGATCTTCTTTACGCATGGATATCTGGCCCAAAAAAGTTGTCGAAAGATTATAAATATTAATTTTTTATGATAAATTTTGCCTTATTTTCTGCATTTTATCGTGTTCTGAACGTTAATTGTTCCAGAATAGTAAAGAAACGCTACTAATCGTGTGGATATGACATTTATGTGACTAAAAAGTTGTCGAAAGTTGCAGAAAATGCTCAAACTGGACCTATTTTCTGGATTGTGTTGTATTTTACTTTGTTAACAGGGGTATATCTATTTAGCTTATCGTTTTGATAGTTTCTGACCTAAAAAATGTTGTCAAAAGCTGAGAATATTGGAAGTTTAAATGTTCAAATTTGACTTTCTTTTCTGGAATTGATCGTGTCTTTTGGAAACGCTTCTTTGCGCATGGATATCTGACCCTAAGAAGTTGATTATTATTCATTTTTTATGATCAATTTTGACTTATTTTCTGGATTTTATCGTGTTTTGAACGTTAATTGTTCCAAAAAAGTTCAGAAACGCTGCTAATCGTGTACATATGACATTTATTTGACTCTGAAACGTTGTCGAAAGTTGCAGAAAATGCTCAAATTGGACCTATTTTCTGGATTGTGTTGTACTTTACTTTGTTAACAGGGGTATATGTTTAGGAACGCTACTTATCTCATCGTTTTGATAGTTTCTGACCTAAAAATGTTGTTAAAAGCTGAACATTTTGAAGTTCAAATTTTCAAATATGACAAACTTTTCAGGAACGCTAAGACCTTCTTTGCGCATGGATATCTGACCCTAAAAAGTTGTCAAAAAATGATTATTATTCATTTTCTATGATCAAATTTGACTTATTTTCTGGATTTTATCGTGTTTTGAACGTTAATTGTTCCAAAAAAGTTCAGAAACGCTGCTAATCGTGTACATATGACATTTATTTGACTCTGAAACGTTGTCGAAAGTTGCAGAAAATGCTCAAATTGGACCTATTTTCTGGATTGTGTTGTACTTTACTTTGTTAACAGGGGTATACGTTTAGGAACGCTACTTATCTCATCGTTTTGATAGTTTCTGACCTAAAAATGTTGTTAAAAGCTGAACATTTTGAAGTTCAAATTTTCAAATATGACAAACTTTTCAGGAACGCTAAGACCTTCTTTGCGCATGGATATCTGACCCTAAAAAGTTGTCAAAAAATGATTATTATTCATTTTCTATTATCAAATTTGACTTATTTTCTGGATTTTATCGTGTTTTGAACGTTAATTGTTCAGAAACGCTGCTAATCGTGTACTTATGACATTTATTTGACTCTGAAACGTTGTCGAAAGTTGCAGAAAATGCTCAAACTGGACCTATTTTCTGGATTGTGTTGTATTTTCAGCGCTAATTATTCAGTATTTTTTTTAAAGAAACGCCTTCTTTATTCTTGTTTCCCATCCTTCCTCCACCCAGGGGCATGAGCGCGGAGGAGCATGCCCGGTTGCGCGCTCTCTTTGACGCGTACGACGTGGACAAGTCTGGGCGGATCGAGCGGAGCGAGTTTCTGACCATCTGCGCCGAGCTGCAGGTGCCCACCGCAGAGGCACAGCGGATCTTCGAGCGCCTGGACGCGGACAGAGACGGCACCGTGAGCCTCGGGGAGTTTGTGAGCGGCTTCCAGCAGCGCTACGGGGCCGACATGGAGGACCCCGAGGCGTTGGAGGGGTGCTCCGCCTGGGATGGGTTCGAGATGAGGCTCGGGGAACAGGCCAAGTATATCCCCAGGTGAGAAACACGCAGCTAGTTTGTTAAAAAGTGATTTAAAGGTTCTCTATTACTCAAAATGGATTCTTGTGAGCTTTAAGCCATGTTATAATGTTAGATTCACACATGTTTGAGTAAAAAAATATACAAACTTAAGAAATCAAATGTCATGTCAGGCAACCAAGCATTCTTAAAAGTCCAAATATTGCACAAAATGTACTCTTGTGAGCTTTATATCGTGTTTGAATGTTGTTACCTCATCATGAGTTGTGTTTTGTTTCATTCACACATGTTTGAGTAACTCTTTAATTAGTCAGATGCAGCCCAAAAAATATACAAACTTAAGGAATCAAATGTTATGTCACTCAACCATGCATTCTTAAAAGTCCAAATATTTTCCCAACTTGTCTCTTGTGAGCTTTAAGTCATGTTAGAATGATAATATCTCATCATAAACTCACCCAGAATTGTGTTTTGTTTCATTGAGTCTTTATTAGACTTATTTATTAGACTAATCTTTATTAATCTGATGCAGGCAAAAAAATCTAAAAACTTATTAAAAACTGTACTCTTGTGTTTAAGTTGTGTTAGAATGATGTTACCTCACCAAAAACATACTTAGAGTTGTGTTTTGTTTCATTTGTTTTATTGTGTAACTCTTTATTAGTCTGATGAAGGCAAAAAATATACAAACTTCAAAAATCAAATGCTATGTCACTCATCCATGCTTTCTTACAAGTCCAAATATTACACCAAATTGTCTCTTGTGAGCTTTAAGTTGCGTTAGAATGATATTACCTCATGAAAAACTCACCCAGAGTTGTGTTTCGTTTCATTCACATGTTTGAGTAACTCTTTATTAGTCTGATGAAGGCAAAAAAAAATACAAACTTAAGAAATTAAATGTTGTCACTCAAACATGCATTCTTAAAAGTCCAAATATTCAAAAAATTGTCTCTTGTGAGTTTTAATATTACCTCATGAAAAACATACCCAGAGTTGTGTTTGGTTTTATTAGCACATGTTTGAGTAACTCTTTCTTAGTCAGATGCAGGATAAAAATTATAAAAACTTAAGAAATAAAATGTTGTGTCACGCAACCATGCATTCTTAAAAGCCGAAATATTACACAAAATTGTCTCTTGTGAGATTTAAGTTCTGTTAGAATGATATTACCTCATCAAAAAGATACCCAGAGTTGTGTTTTGTTTCATTTCTTTCATTGAGTAACTCTTTATTAGTCTGATGCAGGCAAAAAGTTCTAAAAACTTAAGCAATCAAATGTTATGTCACACATCCATCCTTTCTTAAAAGTCCAAATATTACAAAAAATTGTCTCGTGAGCTTTAAGAATGATATTACCTCATGAAAAACATACCCAGAGTTGTGTTTGGTTTTATTAGCACATGTTTGAGTAACTCTTTCTTAGTCAGATGCAGGATAAAAATTATAAAAACTTAAGAAATAAAATGTTGTGTCACGCAACCATGCATTCTTAAAAGTCTAAATATTACACATAATGTACTCTTCTGAGCTTTAAGTCATGTTAGAATGATATTACCTCATCAAAAAGATGCCCAGAGTTGTGTTTTGTTTCATTTATTTCTTTGAGTAACTCTTTATTAGTCTGATGAAGGCAAAAAATATATACAAACTTAAGAAATCAAATGTTATGTCACGCAACCAGGCATTCTTACAAGTCCAAATATTACACAAAATGTACTCTTGTGAACTTTAAGCCATGTTCGAATGATATTTCCTCATCAAAAACATACTTAGAGTTGTGTTCTGTTTCATTTGTTTCATTGTGTAACTCTTCATTAGTCTGAAGAAGGCAAAAAAAATAGAAACTTAAGAAATCAAATGTTATGTCAGGCAACCATGCATTCTTAAAAGTCCAAATATTACACAGAATTGTCTCTTGTGAGTTTTAAGCCGTTACCTCATCAAAAACTCACCCAGAGTTGTGTTTTGTTTCATTCACACATGTTTGAGTAACTCTTTATTAGTCTGATGAAGGGAAAAAATATACAAACTTAAGAAATCAGATGTTTTGTCACGCAACCAAGCATTCTTAAAAGTCTAAATATTACACATAATGTACTCTTCTGAGCTTTGTGTTGTGTTAGTTGTGTTAGGATGATTTTATCTCATTAAAAACTCACCCAGAGTTGTGTTTTGTTTCATTTCTTTCATTGAGTAACTCTTTCTTAGTCAGATGCAGGATAAAAATGATAAAAACTTAAGAAATAAAATGTTGTGTCACGCAACCATGCATTCTTAAAAGCCGAAATATTACACAAAATTGTCTCTTGTGAGATTTAAGTTCTGTTAGAATGATATTACCTCATCAAAAAGATACCCAGAGTTGTGTTTTGTTTCATTTATTTCTTTGAGTAACTCTTTATTAGTCTGATGAAGGCAAAAAATATACAAACTTAAGAAATCAAATGTTATGTCAGGCAACCAGGCATTCTTACAAGTCCAAATATTACACAAAATTGTCTCTTGTGAGTTTTAAGCCGTTACCTCATCAAAAAACTCACCCAGAGTTGTGTTTTGTTTCATTCACACATGTTTGAGTAACTCTTTATTAGTCTGATGAAGGGAAAAAATATACAAACTTAAGAAATCAGATGTTATGTCAAGCAACCATGCATTCTTAAAAGTCTAAATATTACACATAATGTACTCTTCTGAGCTTTGTGTTGTGTTAGTTGTGTTAGGATGATTTTATCTCATTAAAAACTCAGAGTTGTGTTTTGTTTCATTTCTTTCATTGAGTAACTCTTTATTAGTCTGATGAAGCCAAAAAATATATACAAACTTAAGAAATCAAATGTTATGTCAGGCAACCATGCATTCTTACAAGTCCAAATATTATACCAAATTGTCTCTTGTGAACTTTTAAGTTGCGTTAGAATGATATTACCTCATGAAAAACTCACCCAGAGTTGTGTTTTGTTTTATTAGCACATGTTTGAGTAACTCTTTTATTAGTCAGATGCAGGCAAAAAATATACAAACTTAAGAAATCAGATGTTTTGTCACACAACCATGCATTCTTAGAAGTCTAAATATTACACATAATGTACTCTTCTGAGCTTTAAGTCGTGTTAGAATGATATTACCTCATCAAAAAGATACCCACAGTTGTGTTTTGTTTCATTTATTTCTTTGAGTAATTCTTTATTAGTCTGATGAAGGCAAAAAAATATATATACAAACTTAAAAAATCAAATGTTTTGTCACTCATCCACGCTTTCTTAAAAGTCCAAATATTACACAAACTTGTCTCTTGTGAGCTTTAAGCCGTGTTCCAAGTGTTGTTACCTCTTCAAAAACTCACCAAGAGTTGTGTTTTGTTTCATTCACACATGTTTGAGTAACTCTTTATTAGTCTGTTTACATCTCCAAATCTCCAAATGCTCTGTTCCACCTTGTGATGTCATGAAGCAGTGGATTTCAAGTTAACATCTACCTTTTACGTTTTGACGAGAGATAGAGATTTGCAATTCCAGGGCTGAAATGATCCAAATGATTCTAGTGAAGGTGTATTGAGTTTAAAAACACAGTGGAGCACTTCTTGTATAAAAGTTTGAGAGAAGAACTAAACTAAAGAGAACTAAATCTGCAGGGTTTGTGCGTTAAACGTGTGAATGAAACAAAACACAACTCCAGGTCTGTTTTAACGAGGACATAACTTGACATAGATCAGAAAATAGTGTAATGTGAGCCCTTAAAATTAAATAATTATGTACAATTCTCATAAAATTAAAGTGCGTATGACAGGTTTTCATGTTTTTCTGACTTGTTTGTTGGGATATCACTGTAAAAAACAAAATCTAGTCAAGTTAAAATGACTTGAATTAAGAAAGTTTTATCATGATTTGAGTAAATTTCACTTGACAAGTAAAATGATCTGCCAGCGGAACAAGACATTTTGTACTTAAAATATGAAAATACATCTTGCTTCACTTAAAAAAAGAAAAACAACAACTTTTTGAAACAAAATCGAGTGTTGCTTGAATTAAGAAAAACACACAAGTTATTCCATTGACAGATCAGTTGAATTGACTCAAATAAAGTAAAATATTCTTAATTTAAGTCATTTTAACTTTCCTAAATATTGTTTTGTTTTGTTTTTTCAGAGTAATAACTGTGGTAAATTTTTATCATAGTTTTACAGTTTGTGGAAAAAGTTGAAAAGCTCAAATTATTATTCTACCTCTAGTTGGCTTTGTTTCTCTGGAGATTATTTGATTATAAAATGTTAACAATGTCTCTACAGGATAATTTTGGCATTAATCTTTATTTTTAAGACTTTTAGCAGAGGCAATAAGTGACTCAGTTACTCCAAAAAAACTATTCTATATCTAAAAAAATAGGGTTCTGAAATGTGTTAAAATACATCTTTGAATTCAGCTGAAATCAATCTTTATTAAGAACACATAATATCTGGTTCATAGTAAGTAAGAATATAAAAATAAGAAGAATAAAAACTTAAATATACGATATATGTTATAAACAGGATGTATTAGATGCATTTATTTCTTCACTTTCTGAGGTAATTTCGCATTTTGTCTGAAACTTAGACACTTTGTAAACTTTGCAAAAAAAAGCTGACTGAAAATGAAACCGTGTTTTTGAAGCTTTTTTTGCAGCATTTTTGAAGTATTTTTAGATTATTTGCCCACCTCTAGTTTGCTTTCTTTCTCTGGTGAAAGGAATTGAAAAGTATTTGAAGATAAAATGTTTGTAGTACAATTTATATCCTTCAAAATGTTGGCGTGAAAATATAATAACTCCTCTTTGATTAGTAGAGGCAATAAGTGACACATTTAGGCTACTCAAAAATCATATTCAGTAAAATAAAGTTGAACGATTCAGGGAAACCGTGTTCAGAAAAAAGACTAAAATATGAACTGACAAACTTAAACAAGAATCACATTTCAGAACATGATTTTTACAGATTTAAACTACAGCGTTGGCAGTTTGCGTTTACTTACTGAAAACATTTT